ATTCTCAGAGATCATTATTCTAAAGGGAGAACAATCAAGGTTCAAATTAACCCTAATGAACCCCCAATTGAGGTATTTTCTTACTCACAAGGTCCTAGAAGTTCTGAAAATGTGTTGATTGTTCATGGGTTAGGTTGTAGTTCTTTCACATTTAAAAGGGTAATTGATGATTTAGGTTCTAATGGGTTTTTTGGGGTGGCAATCGATTTACCGGGTTCCGGGTTTTCGGATAAGACGGTGGAAAGAGAGAGTGAGGTTGTTCGTGAAGCTGGGATTTTAGAGAAGTTTTCAGAGATGTATGAAGAGATTAAGGAAAAGGGTCTTTTTTGGGGTTTTGATAATTTGATTGAAAATGGGCATCTTCCCTATCAAGAGGTTAGAATTCGGGTTTCGAAACAGAAGATTGTTGAGCCATTGGAATTGGGATCACAAGAATTGGGTAGGGTTTTGGGACAAGTTATTGATTCAATGGGATTAGCCCCTTTGCATTTGGTGCTACATGATTCAGCTTTGGTTATGGGAGCAAATTGGGTTGCTGAAAATGCAGGGTTATTGAGGAGTCTTACACTTATTGATACTATGCCTAGGGGAACTGCATTGCCCTTGTGGGCATTGCAAGTGCCCTTGATTCGGGACGTGGTTTTGAGGGTTGATTCCGTGTTTGGGAGATTGATGGGTTCGTGTTGTTCAAAGTCGTTCCAGGGTTCGAGTTTGGAGGCTCATAGGGTTCTTTTGAAGGGTAGAGATGGGAGGGAGACGATTGTGGGAGTGGGGAGGAATTTGAATCAGAGTTTTGATTTGGCTCAATGGGCTAGTATGGATGGTGTTAAGGGTCTGCCAATGCAAGTGCTTTGGTCTGGCAGTTGGTCTGAAGATTGGAATGAAGAAGGTAAACGAGTCGCTGAGGTTGTATCTCAAGCGAAATTCATCAAGCATTCCGGTGGGAGGTGGCCTCAGGTAGGATCTCAGGATTCCTATATGAATTTTGTTAAAATATCATGTTCTTTGCTTGAAATTTTTTGTTGAAATGTTTAATGAACCATTTGATTGCTAGAACTGAGATTTGCAACTCTAGTAGATGAGCTTAAAATGCTTTTTAGGGAATAACACATTTCTACTCAGTCTGCAATTAACATTCGTCTAGGCAAATTAGTTTTTGAACTCAAAATCATGATATCACTGGAAGAACTGATAATAGCTCTTCAATTCATCTCACCTCACTACGTTTGGTATCAAGTTGAGAAGATTTTATGCTGACTTGAAATTATTTTTGTAATTGAATTTTAGTCATACCTCTCAACTCTAAATTGGGACAGATTTGACTTCTCCAAGATAGCTAGTGGAATGCAAGATGCATATAATGTATTACTGGATTAGAAGTGTAAATTGTCCTGTCAAAGTGTCAACTTTTAATGTTTGGAGTTTGATATGGACTAGCTAAAAAGATGTTTAATTGCTTTTTCTGCACCTTTGCTCTGTTTGAGATGTTGCCATAGTAGTTTTACATTCGTTATTGGTGACTATGCTGTTCAAGTTCTTCTTTTCGTATCAAACTACCCATGCCCAGCGCGATTTATGGGATAGCATATGCAGACTGCCGATTAGGTCCTTAACATTTTTATTTTATCTGAATTCATTAGACGAATTTGACTCTTTGGACCCATGTAGCATGGAAATAAAAACAGGAAACAAAAAGGGGGAAACGTGAAAAAAAAAAAAAAGAAGAAACATGGCGATGCCGAAATTGAAACATTAAGTCATTGATTTTTGTTAGAAACACAAAACTTATCATTGTATTGTTTACGATTGAGAAATAAGAGTGTAAAAGTATTTGTTGGGGTTTATATTAAGATGTTAATATACTGAAAAGGTCATCTTGGGACACTAAGTATTTATAAGGATGTAACTAGGTAGGCATTTGAAAAATAGGTTTCTTACCATTTACCAAGTTACTAGAGCTTCCAAGTTTCTGAAACAAAAATGAAAAAAATGGCCTTAATGAAAGTTTTTGTGTTTCGTAATTTTTGGATGTATTGATGTTTATGTAGAATGGACTGAACACCCTCATCAACGTCTAAGTAGAATCAATGGCACCGTAATTTCTTCTTGTTGCTTTTTAAGTGCCCAATTTTTCCTCACTAAGATGTTTTCAGTTATGATTGGGTAGGTTTTCTGGTTCCCTCTTCCCCCGAAAAATTGTTGCCTGCCTTCTATCTTGGGCATGTTTTATTTAAGGCTACCGTTAAAAATCTTGCATGTCTTTGAAGTTTGAACTCTTTATATTTGTTATAAATAGTATTGTGAAATTAAATGGTTTATTTGTAAATTTTTCCTACAAGCAACTGTAGATCTTTTCCATGAATAGTTGTTTCAAATGATTTGCCTTATGAATCATGGCAATCATAAAGTATGTCTTTTGTGCCTGAGATACCAGCCATTTTCAAGAAACATAATGTAGTAATTTAGCTCATAGCTGTTGTTTCATGATAATTGAATATTCGAATCCTGCCTTATGCACACGCAAATTGACAAACTACTTGGTACAAACTACCCTAGAAATTCTGTTTTAGGGTTCTCAGGAATGAAGAAGGATAAAAATGCAGACAGGTTTCTAATTTTCTTTCTAGCCTGCCTAGGTCTTGGAAGGTTCTTGAATCCAGGTCTTTGGTCACTAGATGATCTAGTTGACAATCTTGACATCTGCCCTTGACTGGTATAAATCATTGGTAGATTTTATGGAAAATATCTTTGGGAGGTTTAGTTTTGGTCGAAAGTAACATGTACTTCAATGATCACGAACAACTCAATCCATGATTTGTCATGGGGCAGAAATCTCCATTTATCCATAATTCGAGATGCTGTTTGAGCGACTCTCTTGAATCTTGACTGCCCAAAGAAGCCTATAGCTTTAATTTATCATGGAAAATTACCAACATAAAAGCTGTTGCTGTATGAGATTCTGATGCTCTTGATGATCTTGTCTTTCTCCTTCATACCTTTTGACTTGGGGCCTTAGAGGGTACTGCCATATTTTCTACATGAGACTGTTTTGCAAAAATTTAATGTGAGATATCAAAATCTATCCGCTGAAAATGTAGTACTCCAATCATCCCTAGAAGTCACCATGGTCACTGATATTGTTGGCTGACAGCAGTTGCCAACTTGCCATTTGCGTAGCACTAGACTGCTGTACATTGTAGGCAGTGTTCAGAGTTTTTTCTGGCCTTCTAATAATATCTATTTTCAGGGGTTTTCCTTAGACCCTATTGGTTAATTCTTACCACATTCTTGTAATCGGGCTCTGCTCTTTTACTTTATTTTTTGGACTTGGGAAGAGAAGGGGGGGGGGGGGGGGTTGCGAGTCAGACCACTAGGTGCTCTTAACATGATTAGAATTTCCTTCCAATTAATGCAAATTTTATGTGCTCTGATGACTGTAAAAATTGTATTTGCTGTGGAAATCTGATGGAAACAAGATACTATGATGTAATTTAAAAATGTTAATGTTACCCAGTAGAGATACATGGAGTGAGAGACGAGGGAACCAAAATAAGGCCTTACAATACATTGTTTTGAAAGAGCCCATATGGATAATTTGACCAACAGTTGCCTCATGGCAGGGTCCTAGCACCATGCCTAAGATAAATCTGGGAGAAAAGGCAATGCTGCCATGTCATGATCCTTTGCTGTTGGCTGCCCCCAGCACAGCACATTTGTGGCACGGTCATGTGCCACCTTTAGTTATGCATTGCTGGTCTTTCTACTATATTTCTATGGAAAGCTTAGTCAGTTATTATCTTTTTTTAATGTAGTGTCTATTGTAATTATTGCAGGATGACACTTCAAGTGAGGTAGCTGAAAACATCATTAGTTTAATATCTTCCTTACCGAAGACCGAAAGAAAAGCTGCTGATGAACCTTTGCCAGAGCATATTCAGAAGATGCTTGATGAAGCAAAAAGTGGAGGCAATAATGACCAGCATCATGGTCATGGTAGCCATAGCCACCATGATGGTCATACTCATGGTCATGGCCATCATGCAGATTACATGGATTCCTACGGTCTTGGTCAAGGTCATGGATGGGGAATGTGATCTTCGACTCTATCCTTATTTTCTGGTAAAAATGTGATACTGGCCATGATATAGTTGTTGAAAGCAACATAAACCTCAAATATTTGCAAATATGAAAGTGTCTTGGATATGGCCCGAGCTAACTGATTGCCAAATTTGAGATCATACATAGCAGGGCATTGACATGCTAGACAGTGGGTTTCTTTTTTCTAGATCCTCATATCAGCGTACTTCGATTTTTTTTTTTTAATTTTTTTTTTCATCTTGTTTTCTTCTGTTTCATATTTGAATTTGTGCTTATGATTCTAGTATTTTACCGAGCTTCTATATTGTCGATGTACTCGGTTTTCAGGTTGTTGGGTATTTTAGATTTCCCTGCTCCTGATTGATGTATGGATGGTAGGATGTGGTATTTTCAGGTCGTTGAACAGTTGTATAATGAACTTGTATTTTCATATGTAGTGAATGAAATTAGTGTCTTTCGGTTTTGTTTTTCTGCTTTGGTATGCTTCTATATATTCAAGTCTTTGATCACATCTTGTTTGTCACTTTGTCAGCTACACTTGCTGAAACTACTTCCATTATAACCAGGAAAACATATCATATAAAAGTGCTATGCATAAAAATACATCAACATCATAAGATGATCAGGAAAACCAATTGAAGAAGCTTTGATTCCTCATTTCTATCATTAACCATCAGTAACTAAAGGCTCTAGAAGCCATTCCTTATCACAAACATTGTACTTGTATGTTCCTTGTGTCAATAATGTAAATCTTCTCAAAACATTACGATTAAAAAAGAACCGAGAAAGCTTGCGTACCATCCCTTAAAACTTTTCCTACTTGAAATGAGTCCCTCACTAACCACACCAAACTTGCTTGGTTATAAGATATACAAATGTGTGACTATATTCATATTGCGCAAAAAGTAAGTCAACCAAAAAAATGAAAAATGTATGAAAACTTCATATTTTAGGCACTTCGTATCTAATTTCTTTACCACTTATTTATTTGTCGCTAAATAAATTCTCAAAATTTCATATCAAATCAATTTATCAAAAATGGGGTGTTGTGGAGATGAAGAGGAAGACAACCTCCTCCACCAACCCCTTATCTCATCACCTTCACCGGAAAATCTCGAAACCACCGTAGAATCCACCATTTCTCCGATGAATTCACACTTCTCCGCTTTAATTTGCCGCGACATCCTCCAAATCATCTTCCAGAAGCTTCCGATCGCCGACATAGCTCGCGCTGCCTGCGTTTGCAGGACTTGGAGTTCCGTCGCTTCTGATAGGGATATTCAAACGGCGTCGTTTAGGGCGCCTTGGAAATTGCAGGACATTGTCGGTGATCCGATTTCTGGAAGTTTCTGGAGAGATAATAGTTTGAGTAAGTTCGCTATTTCTCATCGTATTCGTAGTGGTGATTCTGTTGCTAGCCTCGCTGTCAAGTACTCTGTTCAGGTTTTTCTCTCTTTCTCTTTATTTGCTTGTTCTAATTTAATCTTTTAAATTGTGTGTGCATTACTTAATATTGATAACACCGATCAACGCGTGATTTTAATGCTCATAGTTAGCCTGGAGGGTTGCTTATATCAAAACCGATCATGTATGGGTTAATGTTATTGTGTGTTTAGTTGATCAGTTTCTTGTTAGAATTTGATGATTGAAAAAATGGCAATGGTTTATGAATTGCTTGAATAATGAATATTGTATTGTTTGAATTTAGTGGTATACTTAAATTGATTTAGTATATATTGACTGAGTTTTTATGTGTAATGAATGAATGTGTTTTGGAAAATATGTCAAAAAGATGTGTGGAGGGAATTTTGATAAGTTTGTAGAATGATGATTAATATGAACAGTTAGGAGAGAGATCGTTTTTGATGAAAATGTTGTGCTGTTCGAAAGTCGGTGTATATTGAAAAAATTATGAATTGTATAAAATAAAGAGTGAGAAACAGCTCAAGAAGGCAAGGTGTTTCATGAAAAATAAGGAAAGTATGTTATGATCTGCTTATATTTGTCCAAATCTGTGGAGGGTAGTGTGGTTTAGTTGCGAACAGAATTCATGAGCTTGTGCACTTTGTTATTGTGAAGTTTGTGGAACCGCGAGTATCTTATTGAAACTAGATTTGGGTGCATACTTTTTCCGGCTTTTGTTTGTCTTGCTGTTTGAATGTGTACCTGGTACTCTGGTAGGTGATTATCGCTGCACGTTGTGGAGGTTTAAGGCTGTAATGTTTAGGCGATGGTTGAGGCTTTGAGAGGAGTTTACTTACTAGTGTGTAGTTTGTATGCAAAGGGGATGTCTTGTGGCAATTGATAAGACTTAGGTTTTTCTACGATGTTTGCAAGAATGGATATCTAGTGAGGTTAATTAACAGCATTTTGCTGTTGAGATAAGTTTCTAGCAATTTGTGCTGAAATATACACCTGCTCAACTGCTCCTATTAGATTCTGTTTTAATTTCTCTGATAAAATATGCGGGCTTACTGGTTTCTTGAACCAGTCCAGACTTGAGCAATGATCAGCTAGATAGAGATTAAAAAACTATCTTCCAACAGCCATAGCATAGGTTATGAAAGATTCCTAGATGGTTGGTGTTTACATCATATTGAAACTTTCAAAGTAATTTTTGCTATTGTTTTTTATTTTTTGATGGGCAATGCATGACCAGAATGGAAGATGATGCCCTTAGTCCTTAGAAGCGTGACCATATCTGTATAACCTGTTTACTAACTCGAATCTCAAATATCACTTGACCTTGATCTTCTTCCTTTGTTTTCTTTCCCATAACTTTAAATGTATGGCTACTGTCTATTCTTTAGTTAGTGCTACTTTTGTGGTATTACATTACCAGTGTACAATGTGGGAATAGGCCCTTTTGCAAGCCTTCTCTATACTTGTTGAGTAAGTGTTTTTGTGTGGATCCTTGAAGAAGCAGTATTGAATCGAGAAAATTTTGATAGGTGATTAGGGTGGCAGTGTTGCTATTTTGATGATTGAATAGCGAGTTAGGCTGGTCATAGATAATGAAGTATAGCATGGGATAAACCCTGTAGGCATTGATATTGTTTATAGGCAAGACCTCTAAGCTTGCTGGAGAAGTGAGGACTTTCTGAGTATATTGAAAATTGAAAAGAGCTAAGTTAATATCTGTGGAGCTAGTTCTAGTAAGTACATCTTATTGGAGTGCCCTCAGATGTATATGAAGTAGAGAGCATTGTGCAATGGGGTTTCTGAGCACTGAAGAATTTATTTGAATCTTGGTAGATATTTCCATGCTACTCCTTGTGGAAGCTTTATCCCATCCATGCTGTGTCCTGGCACTCTGCTCTTTTAGTGTGTCCCATGGCCTCTAATATCCAATGTACCTTTTTACATATGTTTGATAAAATGATACCTACCTTCCAGGGGCATAACTATTAGCAAAAAGGGTATGGGGCGCATCAAATCATGTTGAGGAAAGAGAAAGTAGGTTAATTCAGAGGATAGAGAGAGGGAGGGGAGAGGGGGGATGAACTCCCTAAAAAGGGCAAAGCTATTATTACACATGCTTTTATAAGATAGTAATTACAGGACTTGCACCATTATAATTACTTGCACCATTATTTATTATTAGGACTTCTATGACCGGAGTGCCTTTTCCAGTTTACCATCTTTTGTCTTGAGGAATAAGTACTTGACATATCTGCTGCAGTCGGTAATTATATCTCTCATGGATATTCAGGTTATGGACATAAAACGACTGAACAATATGATGAGCGACCATGGCATATATTCACGGGAAAGGTTGCTCATTCCTTTGAGCAATCCAGACATCCTTATCAACAGTACATGCTACATAGAGCTTGATGTGTATGCAAATAGAGAAGCAGCAGTCTTGTATCTGGAGGGAGGTCCACCTGAGAATAAGTTTAGCTGCTCAACTAGTAGAGCAACCTCAGAACTGGCTAAGAAAAGAGTGATCGAATCTGTTAGGAGGAGCCTGCAGGTTGATGATGAGATTGCTCGGTACTATCTATCTATAACTGATGGAGATCCACGATCTGCACTCTCCGAATTCTCTGAGGACCTTTGCTGGGAAAGGCAGACAGGTCTAGCCTAGTCGAACCTTCAAACAGAAAGCTAGCCATTGGTAGAGCAGAAGGCTTGGTCACATTTCATTTGAAGCCTTATTTGTAAGATCTGTGTGATTCTATTCTGATTTTCAGACCTTGAAACGCTACTCGCAAATTCAATTTACAATAATTCCCATAGTCATTGCTGCGCGAATCTGTTTGTCTACGACCAGCTCTAAATGGCAAGTAGATATCATATTACTCGAGTTTGTAAGTTTATTAGTCTGTAAATTGTAAGCTTCTAGTAAATTAAGCTGGCTTTGTCACACAAAATAACATACTATGATAAGGCCAAACAATTATTCTGTATAGTGTATGCATTTACTTTCGTACTAAATAAGCAGTAATTTGGTTGTATTTGTTGCCTAGAAACTGTAAAATTTTAGATCTGGAATTGTGTGAAATCTGGGTTAATTCTTATACTGTAGTTATCTCTTGAGAGCCGCCTCTTTTCCACCACCCAGGAATAGAGCACATGAAAAGTACTCAAATACAAGCAAGGGTAATAAATTGCTCAAGAGAAGAAGATTACGATTGCCATTTGCCAACATTTTTAGAAAACGACAAGTGTTTACACCATGAGCATTGACCCCTGTTTTATATAGAGTAACAACAATAGAAATAATTTCGCCAAATTTAAATTTAATTGTCGCACTTTTCTTGTACGCCCATTCTAAATTATTCATCACACTTCCTTTTTAATCTTTTATGATTTGAACTAACTATATTATATTACTTTGATCTATCTCTGATACTAAAAGTTAAGATTATTTATATACTTGAATAAATTATTGCCAATTTATTATATTAAAAAAAATGCAGAATAATGATTCGGATACTTAAACAATCTATTTTTCTCTCTTCCTTTTCTAATTTTCATTACTTATAAAGAAACTGTCCCATCTAATTATATAAAATACTTTGTATGTGTTTTTCATTACACTTTTACCTTCTTAAAATACACTCTAAAATGTATGACGAAGCCACACAACAATACATGTATTCGTTATAATTATAATTTTACTTCACACTTTTATAACCTCTATCATTATCCATTAAAATTACACATATGAGAATTGAGATAAGCCTAACAATATTTCACTCAACCATTTTATCTATTTATGAAAACAAAAATTACGGTAAGCAGTAGAAAGTCAAATTTGGTACGTCGTAGAGGAGAGAGTATCCGAGTGATGTACCAAACGAGCACAAGACAAGACAACAGGTAGCGCAGCAGATGGCTTAACGTGGTACAATGCTATGTCAAGCTGCCACATACTTGTTTTTGCATGCTCTTTCCTAATACTATTCAGCCACGCATTTCTGTCACTATACCTTCCTCCTTCCCTCTTTTTCTCTCTCCTCCCAATTTTTTTTAAAAGTAAATAATCACTCACTCTTTCATTCATTATCTCTTTATAAAACCTCCCTTCTTCCTTTCCTCCCTCTTCATTCACCACTCCATTACATTACATTTACATACCCTCTTTAAGTTATATTAGCCCCTTTGTTGTCATAATTATTGTTTCTTACTCAATTATTTCATACAATTGAAGATATAATTTTGTGATGGGGAGTGTTTGTGCTGAGCACCACCACCACCATTACAAATTCCACCCTTTGATTTCGCCTAAGAAAGCCCTACAAGACCTTAATATTCCTCCCAGGAAGCTGCTCTCTCGCCGCAGCGACGCGTCGTCTTCGGATTATTTCTCGCCTTCGTCTGAGGCGGCTGCTGCTATGCTGCATAAGTTTCTTCCTTATAATAATAATGGTGGGGGTGGTGGTTCATCTTCTTCTAATGGAGATGGTTGCGATGGTGGTGGTGGAGGTGGTGGGTTTGACCCGGATGATGACCCGTACTCGTCTGACGAGTTTCGGATGTATGAGTTTAAGGTGAGGAAGTGTACTCGTAGTCGGTCCCATGATTGGACCGACTGTCCCTTCTCCCATCCTGGGGAGAAGGCTCGTCGTCGTGACCCGAGGCGGTTTCATTACTCGGGGACTGTTTGCCCCGAGTACCGCCGCTCGGGGAGTTGCTCACGAGGCGACGAGTGTGATTTTGCTCACGGGGTGTTCGAGTGTTGGTTGCACCCCGCGAGGTACCGCACTGAGGCGTGTAAGGATGGGAAGAGTTGTAAGCGTAAGGTGTGTTTCTTCGCTCACTCGCCTCGTGAGCTTAGGGTCCTTCCCGCCGAGGAGGATGGCGACGAGAAGGATAGTTGCACTCAGCGAGGAAAGCAAGATCAACAGCATCATCATCATCAACAACATTGTTGTAGGTATTGTTGTGCACTTTCTCCTACTTCTACTTTATTAGGGTTGTCCAACTTCTCCCCACCAATGTCACCCATGAAAGCGGTCGGGGCACGACCGCTTTCTCGGTACTCGGACCGAGTGTCTGCATGTGGTAGTAAGGGTCTTAGTTATGAGGATATGGTGATTGCTGAGCTTTTGGGGTCATTGGAAGGAATTAGCCTCAATGAGGCCATGAGCCCCAACAAGGCTAGTCATGCTCAAGGTCATGGTCGCGGTCTATGGGTTGATGTAGGTGGTTACGAGTCAGGGTCCGGTATTGTCCCCGGGGACGAATACCAACAACAACAAGAATATCAACAACAACAACAACAACAAATGCAATTCTCCGTGTCACCTTCAACACCAATAAGGAACCATTTTTTCAATGCCAACAACGAATCCGTTGTCGGCGGTGTCATTGATGAAAGTCCGGATATCGGGTGGGTAAATGATCTTCTAATGTAGATGTTTCTCTATATATATATATATATGGATCGATGATGAATGAAGACGATATCAAGTGATAATAATAAAAATAAGTCTATGTAAATAACTTAGACGGATTATGGATGTTCTTTTGGTATTATGATGATGTGCCTTCTAGTAGGGAAGTTGTGTATTGGAGACTAGGAGGGAATTTTCTATGTAATATTTTTTTTGCTTGATCTTTAGATTTTAATTAATCCTTCGGATTTGTATTTTGATTTTTCCCACGAATTTCTATATTATGAATACTATTATTATTATTAGGACTACTTTTCCAATGTATATGTAACAATAATGGGTGGATTTGTAACTTCAAAATTTCAAGGCTGCTTTATTTTGTTGGCGATGTAATGTTTGTAATGTGTTTTGCATGGTGATGTCTACGAAGTATGAAAGTATGGTTCATATTTTGTAATTTCATGGCTGTTACAATAATGTACTGTAATTTATTTTGTGATTTCTAGTAACTGATTTTATGCATGGTAAAAAATGATACTTCAATTTTATTTACTTTTATATATCGATGGGTTTATTCGTAATAGTAAATATAAATTTATCACGTGAATTGTAAATGGGACAAACAAAAATAAGATTATATATCAATGGGTTTATTCATGGTTAATGTTTTAATTACTCCATAGTTTTATCACATGAATAATAAATGAGACAAACCAAAAGAAACATAACACAATTTGGTTGGTAGATTTGTGCAAATGATCTAGTTTTATAATTAATTACAGTGTTGTTCATAAATTTGATGATAAAGTTACTGATTTTTGAGAGCATTTATGAAAAATGTGCAAAATCCTACTGTTTCAACAGTTTGCTTATATATCTACAATAAAACAATCTTCATGACAACATAGAATTTTGATCATTTGTGTAAATGACATGTAGAAGAATAATCTGGAAGTAAGTGCTTCAATTGAGGTTGCATCAATGCAATAAATTGAGAAACTGCGGTCGAATGCACCGGAAAACATCTCACCACCCACACACCCACCCACCATCTGGTCCTTCTCCTTGCATTTGAATATGGCTAGTGTAGTTTGTTACTCATTGGGAAAACAAAAAAAAAATGAAAAAAAGAAGATGCAGTTAAAATTGGTTGTTTCTCATAAAGTCATAACTAGACCTGTTTAACGGGCTGGATCAGGACTGGGCTCGGGCCTTAATTAAATGGGTCAGGTCAGACTAGGGTCAAGGTTAATCTAAAATGGGTCGGGCTAGGGTTAGGGGTAGACTTGTACAAATGAACGAGCCCCCACTAAAAGCCCTAATCCAACCTGAAAATTTTTGCCTACACCCCGAGCAGGGAACACTGCCTGCACCCGCCACTCTCCGCGCGTGCCCTGCCTTTCTCCTTTCATCTATGAGTTATCCGTAAATTTTTATAATAAATTCATTTCTGTATTGATAAATGTTCATTTTTGTATCATTAGATGTATATTTTTGTATGATTAGATGTTCATTTTTGTAATAAAGAGTATTCTGTTCATATTAATAAATTTTCTTAATTATATTTTTAGAATTTTCTATAAATAAAAATGAGAGCAAATTTATTAATAAGAATTACTGCCTTCAAATCATTTATTTTTATTGTAAGAAGTATTAATCATCAAATGTTCATACACTTCTTTTGATCCAAAATTACGTGCCTACTTCTTTTTACACATACACGTCTTTAACCATTGATATCTTTAATTGATAGTTTAAAGCTACACGTTAACACGCACACAATCATATCTTACATTACTATATTATTTTTAAAGGAAAATTTGTTTAAAAGGATCATATAAGTGGTCTCTTTTGTTTAGAAGGACCTAATAAGCAAAAGGTTGCCTAAAAGGACCATATAAGACAGTTCGGGTTGTGGCGGGTAGGGGTGTTCAGATCCGGGTACCCGGAACTTCGGTAGTTGATATGTTGGCCCGTGTCCCATCCCGGATAATTTGGGTACCCGAATTATGCGGGACGGGACACGGGTGCCCGGATTTTATTGAGTTACAACCACTGGCTTCAAACTGTGATAAATCTAAACAGGATACTAGATTGGATGTTGAATGCTAAAGAATTGAAATATATCTATTCATGCATGATGAGGTTCTAGCAGATAAAATGTTATTTCAAAGTCCAATTTCATCACATGCAATTGCAACCAAACCAAATCCAACTGCTTCAACTTAAATAAATTGCAAAGTAAAAATAAGTAAATAAATATAGATGAAACGCTTTGCTAATGTCCAAATTCTAGGCAGCCACCAACCACCAACAATCGATAGCCACCAGCCACCAATTCCACCACGCACCAAGGCAGCCCAGCCACACCTGCCAAAATGCACATTCTAGCCAACATTAAAAAAATCAATAACTACATCAAAAAATACAAAATCTAACAACAAAAATTATACACTCAATGTAATTTAAAATTACAATTATAAAGAAAAATACAAGAAATTAAAATCTGAAATTTGATAAAAATAAATAAATAATAAAACTAGATCTAAATTCTTACCTAAATTAAATTTAGATCTGAAAAACGTTAGAGTGAGGTGGGACGTGGTTGTTCTGGGTTGCTCGGTGGTGGGTTTCTATGGGTCTCCGGCGCAACCGAGTTATTCCTCCATTTCCTCGCCGAGAAATCCACGGAAATCTCGTCGAAAAGAAGCGTAAAAACATCAAACATTACATATCCTTTGAAATTCCATTATCACAATTTTCATTATCAAGAGGAGAGAGAAAGAGAGTAACAGGGGGGAAGAGGAGAGAGAAAGAGGAGGATGAGGATATAAAAAGAAAGAGAAGAAGATAGGGTGGGTAGTTGGGTACTGGCCTACTGGGTATACCGTATACTTAGTAAGTGGGCTGGGCTGGCCTGGCTGGTTAACTTCTATAATTTTTTTTTCTTAAACAGGTATCCGGGTACCCGAGAAGTTTGTCCCATGTCCCAGCCCACAGAACTGCTATTTTAGCGGGACGGGTACCCGACCCGAAAAAAAAGAAAAATTTGTAAATTTCCCATCGGGTTTTTTGCGGGTCATCGGGTAATCGGGACGAGACAACCGGGTCGGGTTTTTTTTGAACACCCCTAGTAGCGGGGGACCAAGTCTAATTTTCTGGCAAATCAACGTCGGACTTCGGCGTTGACTGTGACTCATTAAATTGACCAATTTTTTTTCCCCTCTATTCCACGATTTCCCTCCCATTTTTCCCCTTTAACCCTAATTAGAAGTGTCCACCGTGCGAGTCGTGCGAGCTGGGTTAGGGTTAGGCGGGTCGCGGGTTGGGGTTTCATGACACACGACACGACACATGTAGGGTAGGGTGGCCGGGTCGTGGGTTGGGTCGGAGAAGTTGGACACACCAAGGTTAGGTTCGTGGGTTAGACAGGTTGTGGGTGGGTCGAGTTGGGTTCGTGGGTTAGACGATTCGTGGGTGGGTCGAGCTGGGTTCGTGGGTTAGACGGGTCGTGGGTGGGTCGAGTTGGGTTCGTGGGTTAGGGTAGGTCGAGGTGGGTTAGTGGGTTAGGGTGGGTCGAAGGGTTGGTTCACTAAAATAAGTATGCCACTTACATTTCATGCTATCAAGAACAGGACGAAGTCCATCAATCTTCATACGTTCTTCGAGGTGTGAACAACTTTAACACACTCAATTATGACTAAATGAATGTTAGGCTTGTAAATATAAGAGAAAATATGAGTTGCATTATCAAAAGCATTTAAAACATCACGAACAAAAGAAGCATTAGTCCAATGACTTTCGGTTATTAACTCAGTAGGATCAACACGAGTCTCATTGTAAAATTGGGTCAAAATGTCATGATACTTTATAGCATCATTCAACAAATTGAAAGTAGAATTTCAACGGGTAGGGGTATCAATAGCCCATTGTCTTTTCTTAAGACCTCTCTCTTTACACATAGCTATGTACTATCTTCTAACATGCAAGAGACTACCACCTAACAACAAATGCAATTCGGAGTCATTTTTCAATTAGTCAATACACTTTGTGTTTGCAGTTGCATTATCAAGAGACAAAGAAAAAACTTTATTATTCAAGTGAAATTCTTTTAAACAATCCAAAATATGAACTTTGATGTTAAAACCGGTATGCCTTTCTTCCATAGCTTGAAAACATAGTAAACGTTTTTAAATAAACCAATCATCATCTACCCAATGAGCAGTAATATAATGCAAAGAAAAGGTTCGCCAAAACTAGAAGTTCATGTATCACTTGTAAAACTAACACGACCATCAAAAGTACGACATAATTCAATCAAACCACTTCTATACTTATAATAAGAAGTTTGTGTATAACGTCTTAGGGTATTTCGGGGGACACGAGTAAATGCAGGTTGTAATGCAACTTTATTAAAATGCTCAATGTTTGCATTTTCATTGTGACTAAAAGGGTATTCATTAGCAATAACTAAAGTACTCATTTTATCAATCATTCTATCTTTATTATAAATGAAAGGTGTACCTCCGCCGGGTAAATGGTTCATGTATCCACTCAATTGTGTTTGGACGGGCAACCCACCCTCCGAAGGACAGGGGCCATTTTCTTCGAATAAGTCGTGTTTATTTTGCAAATGTCAACTTAAGGTTCCGGTTCCATCTCTCGTTTTCCAACTATATGACTTGACATTTGCACCTAGCGCCATGCAAACTAGGCATGTACACGTGAACCTCTTTGGTTGACCGGGTTGCCATCCCGGGGTTGTGACCTCAACTCGTTCAAAATGTTTTCACACCCAAGAACATTTTGCTCGAACTCTACTTTCACCGCCACCACCTTTCATAAATCAAATTATTGAAATTAATTTTTAAACGCTATTCATGAAAATAAGATTTTAAATTTTAAATATTTTAATTATAATTATTTAAACGCATTTTTCATGGTAATTATAAATCATAGAAAATTGGAAACTAAACTAACTTTATAATCATTAATAATAGTTTTTCTTAAATATTCATAACAATAAAAAATCAAATTAGAAATTACCTTGAGATAAAAGTTTAGATGTTGGTTGTGATGGAGGTGGCATAGTTGAACTCGATGATTGGTGGGAGAAATGTTATAGTGGAGACGTTTGAATATTTTGCCCATCTCCTAAACCATAATCTCCATATTCATTGACAAATTGGTTTAAATTTTCTGTATTAATTTCATACGAAAAATTTGTACCACCACTCCTTTGGCCACCACTTCGACCACCACTTTGACTCCTTCCCATTCCTCCTCTTGAGCCCATTTTTTTTAATTTTTTTTTATGATTACTAATTATAATATGGAGAAGAACTATTTTTTTTTTAATCTTACGAATACTAATAATAATATTAAGGAGATTTTTTTTAACAAAAATAAAACTCTATATAACACTAAATAACACTTGAGAATTTGAGAACAATTAAGAATTTTTGAGTAAGAGAGAAAGAAAGCTCGAGTTGTGTGGAAATTTGAGTGAAATGGAATTGGTATTTATAGGAAAAATTGAGGGGATGATCATACAATACAAAAAACTAGTCAGTACACTAAAAAACCTAGCTAGTACAATACAAAAATCTAGCCGTTAGTTTTGAAAAATGGTTGTTAGGCTAGGCGAGCCGTGCGGGTTGGGTGGGTGGGCCATGCGGGTTAGGTGGGTCGTGCGTACGGGTGGGATGAGTCGTGGGCTGTGCGAGTTGGGCGTGCAAGGTGGGCTGGGTTGTGCGAGGTGGATGGGTTAGGTGGGTTCATAGGCTAGGTGTGTCGAATTAAATGGGTCAAAATGGGTTGTGCGAGTTGGGTCGAATCAAACGAGTTAAAACGAGCTGGGTTGAAATGGGTTGTGTCGAAAATTTTGGACCCACGACACAACCCGGGTTAAATCCGGGCTGTGCCGTGCCGGGTTGGTACCGGGTTGAAATCGGGTCGGACCCACGTGACCCACCAGCCGTGCGGGTTAGGGTGGGCTGGGTCCAACCCGGCCCACTGGCCACCTCTAACCCCAATTTTCCCCTTCCCCCCTTCTTTCTCTCTCCTCATTGCATTGTTCATGGCATTTAGTATTGTCTGCCATTGTTGGTGAGGTCAGAGAAGCGAGTTAATTGGGTATTAAAGGTAATGTCTTTCTCTTCGTTCTACCGTCTCCTGTCACTTTCTTTAACTTATTAGGACTGCTTCCTCACCATTTTGCTGCTGGTGGTGAAGTAGGAGGAGGGTAGCAGCGCGTTGTGGCCGGTTGATGTTATGCGTTGTTGCTGCTTGTTTGGATATTCAATAAACAAGGTTCTCTCAAAAAGGTAATGTTCATTAGCCATTTAACTTGATGCTTTGACCTCACTAACAATGGCAGACAAGAGTAATGTCATGAATAATGCTTCTGGAGAATAGGGATGGCAGTGGATCTGGACCCGACCCGAATCCGTGGATTCAGATTCGTTTTTCACGAATATGGGTCTTCAAATTTTGGACCCGACATATCTGGGTCCTGCTGAAAAAAACGAATCTGGATTCGGGTCTAACTCCCAGACCCGGACCCAAATCCGTTTACCCGTTTTACAATTTCCCTATAAAAAAAAAAAAACTACAATTGTTTGTTTCTTTATTAAAAATGTTGATGATGTTAGTAGTGATGAAAATTAGCCCTTCTAAGAGATGGATTTTGGATGTTCATATCGGAGACATCATCGTTGTTTTTTCGCTTGCTCATTTGTAACATCGTACTTTTTTCGTTGTTTATAATTTTTATTTCAAAACATAAGTTTATAAGTTGGTTGCTTTGTGTTTTTAGATTAGTTATATAACTTTAATTTAGGTTGAACTTAATAACCCTTTACGGAAGTTTGAAATACATTTTTTGACCCAAACATTACATTTATTGCAAAAAGTTAGACAAAACGTATTGGACCCGTTTTAGACCCGGATTCGTTAGTCCCGTCGGATCTGGATCCGGGTCTCCATTTTCCAGATCCGACCCGTTGCCATCCTTACTGGAGAAAAAAACGAGGAGAGAGAATGAAAGTGAAAAGGGTTTAATTGGGGTTAATTGAAAAATTGGAGGAAAATTGTGGAAAAAGGAAAAAAAAAAAAAAAGAGTCACGTGACGGTCAACACCAGAGTCGGTATTGACTTGGTTGAAAATTAAACTTAGTCCCCCGCCACAACCCGAAATCTTATATGGTCCTTTTAGACAACCTTTTGCTTATTAGGTCCTTTTAAACAAAAGAAACCACTTAAGTGGTCCTTTAAAACAAATTTTCCTTTTTTAAAATATTAATAAGTATTGTCAAAGTTTTATGATTTTACCGTGAAAATGGAAACATATATTTAATTTTGGGAGGGAGTGAAGGAGTAATTTGTAATATATTTTGTTTTAAATGTGTGAGTATGCATTATGCAGTGAAAGAAGTTTATTTAGGGTATGAGAGTGAGATAAAAGAAATCCTCAAATTTATTTGCAATTGCGTGAAGAATGGGACAGAACTTGCTAAAGAATCTCTAATAATCTTTTTTCTAATCCCAAAATGATCAACATCCATATAGTTGCCTAATTAAAGCAACTGCAACACAAGTTTTTTTAGTGTTGGTTGGACATACAACTTTGACTTATGTGTAAACTAGAAAATGTCAGAATTCTAAATCGATCAACAACGTCAATCACCATTTCAAAATGATGCTCATCATTTTGTTGTTGTGTGATTAAATAGAGGGATATGAAATCAAGAGCTCCCCATGTAAAATTGTTGTGCTACACCTTCATAATAGCAAAAGGAACACATTTTATCAGTATAACATATATTACTTTCTCCGTTTTTTTAGCTGACATCATTTGATTTTTGCATTATTCACAAACTACACTTTGACTAACTTTGTGATTTATAACTACGATAAAATATAGTCATGAAAGATCTTGTTTGAATCGTCTCATTGTATATTTATTAAATCCAATTTTTTAAATTTTACAATATCAATAATTAGAGATATTAATCGTTAAAATAGTGTATTGAAAAGTGTAATAA